CTCCAGAACAAGGGAACAGGCCTTGAGGTACACAGCTAGCTTCCTAGGCACCAAATCCCCAGAGCTGATGCCTAGCGGGAAGATTTTGAAATCTCTGGGTCACAAGCGTTGTTGCCTTCTCATCCAGCCAGCCAGCACAGTGTACTCCCAGCCAAGTGCTGAGTGCCAGGAACTAGTGTCTGAGTACCAGTGAGGCTGAACCCACTAGGAACCAGACCTAAGCTCGTCCTTCTGAGCTCTGGGCCTAGAAGAGCCACTAACACCACAAACCTAGGCCTCCTTTCTCTCTGAAACTATCACACTTCTGCCTCTCAAGATCAGCCAATGTCACCTCTAGCAGAAGCTCACATTCAAAGTAGGTCTTCTCTGGCCCCCTGCCACCCTGACAAAGCAAGTTTATAGTTGGAACAGAAATCATGGAAGGGTAGATTCCAGACATGGAGGGAAAAAAAAACCCACCTCAGACACAGTAAAAGGTGGGGGTGGAAAGGTAGCTCAGCAGGTGAGAGTTCTTACTAGGCAAGCCTGAGGAAAGCCTAAATCCAGATCCCAGCACCCACACAGGCTAGGCATAGCCATGAACAGTCTAGCCTCAGGATTGCGGGAGACAGAGACAGAAGGATTGTAGGGCTTTCTGGCCACCAGCCTAGGTCCAGTGAGAGATCTCGCATCAAAGGAATAAATCAGAAAGTCATAAGGCAGGGCATCCAGTGTCCTTCCCAGGTCTCCACGTAGACACACCAAACAGGATGTGCACACAAGTATGTGTGCCCTGATTCGATGCACCCTCATCACAGACCCTTACACCTCCACACACGTATGCTACAGTCGCACAGACAGGCATGCAAAGGAGCAGACTATAGTATTGTTTTGTTTTTTCTGATTTGTTTTCTTAAATAATCTTTAGTTGTAGCAGAATTTGGCTATATTATTTCCTGATTCCTTCAAAAGATTCAAACGGGGCTGGAGAGATGGCTCAGCAGTTAAGAGCACTGACTGTTCTTCCAGAGGTCCTGAGTTCAGCAACCACATGGCGGCTCACAGCCAATCTGTAATTGGGTCTGATGCCCTCTCCTGGTGTCTCTGAAAAGACAACGTTACTCACATATATAAAATAAATAAATCTTTTTTAAAAAAGATTCAAATGAAATATGCACCTTTTGTTCACATGAATGACATTCTATTCCATTGAAATTTGTATTCTATTCTATTTGGAGAGCCTTGCACCATTTTTATTTTCTGTGTAACTCCTTTTGCAGTTCACAGCTTTCCACAGCTCTTTCCTCGTCTTGCTTTGGGAAACCTTTCTGTTAATTCTCCCTCCTCAGTCTCCTTAAACTTGGAGTCAAGATGTCTCAGGCTTTTGCCTCCCTCCCTTCTTACAGAGCCTTGGTGAACTCTGCCATTTCTCTTCTTCACTCAAGGCTAGTTTGAGCTACCAACAGCTTGTTACTCAGATTGCCCACAGCTTAAGAGTTTCACAACCCTTGCCCTGAGACCCCAACCATCCACTCCCTTGTGCCGCTTGTAGGATTCCCTGTAGCTGCTGCTGGTGCCCTTAATAAGGACCATGCCTGCGGTCTTTCTCACCTTGCTTTTTATAGCTGGTCAGGAAAGCCCACTGGCGTGCCTGGAAACCCCATCCAGACTCTGTTCTCACCTCTCACATTTCCACTATTGTCCTGCCCTCACCCCTCATCTTTTCCTCGATTTTTGCAAACCTCAGTGGTATTTTATGCCCTCCCAGTGAATTCCTTACACATCACCGGACAGTTTCCTAAAACTGCCAGTTAGCTGCAGACACCACTGACCTGGAGTCTTTTCACGCTGCCCCTTGTCATTTGGGATATGAAGTCAGTGTGAGGACCCTGGGTCTGATGACCTTGCTCAGGCATGCTCTTCTACCACACCCCTCTCAAAGGCCATGCTGCTTTCATCCTTCTACTCACAAGTCCCTGTTGGTGTCTGGCCAGACTGCTCTATTTACTACAGGGCGGACTCTCTTGGGCTTCATGGCGTTTTAAATTTCTTATCCCAATGCAGCATGCTCTTTTCATGTGTCCTGCATTTGCATGTTGTGTGTATTGGCTGAGAATAACAACGGCCTCATTAGAACCAGGAGAACCCTAGCTGCCCGCCCTGTGCACAGCTGAGCTTGTCCACAATGCCTTGGCGGTATTACAAAACCAAGTTTATAATTTCATAGATTCTTAAGAGTTTGGATAGATCCATGACAGAAACGACCTGTGGTGTGAACGTAAGCTGTGAGTCTCCAGGTGATGCCTTAATCAGGCTGTAACCATATCTGCATTTTCTCTTACCTCTCCAAGCGCAAAGGCCTGCTAATTGCATGTCTGTGCCACGACCTGGACCACAGGGGCTTCAGCAACAGCTACCTGCAGAAATTTGACCACCCCCTGGCAGCCTTGTACTCCACCTCCACCATGGAGCAGCACCACTTCTCCCAGACTGTGTCTATCCTTCAGGTGAGCCTGCCCAGCTGCTTCGCCCACTCCTTGTCCTTGGCCGGAGAGCATTCCTTTGAGGTGGTACTGCCCTGAGGGGAGAGAGGGAGAGCTTCACAGCTTACTATGCAGGCAGCAGCTCAAGTTTACTGTGCCTTCTTAGGTTTACAGCCACAATTGTGAGCAGTTTTTAAGATCCGATTTTCTCTATATCCTGTAGCCAATACGCGGTGACTTCAGCAACGGGGGCTTTCCAGGCTAGTTATGTGGGTGACCAACAGCCCTAGCAGTCATTTTGGAGACCTCTGAGGTCACCCTGACCAAAATAATTGGTAGGGAAGCTATCCCACATCTGGCGATGTGGTTTCGTTTAATAGCTTATGGCTTCTGGAAGTGGCACTGTCCACCCATGCAGAATGCCCCATTTGAACTCTTGTTAAAAGTTATATTTTGAAGTTAGCTTACTAATTATTCAGTTTCCATAAAGCTTAGGCTAGCCCACCTATTACCCTTCCTCTCCTTCCTCCCCCACCCTCCACACCCGAGGCCTCCCCTCCCCCACCCTCCACATCCCAGGCTTCCCCTCCCCAATCCTTCACACCCCAGGCTTCCCTCCCCCCTCCCCCACAATCTCTTTCCCCCTCTCCAATCTCCTTTCATCCCCCTGTAGCGGGAGGTATTAAAAATGAGGCGTCTGGCTTGGCTGCCAGCTCAGCCGCCATATTCCTGCACTAAGCTGGGCACCGTAGGGCTGCCTGGCACCAGCCGGGTGTTCTCATCTCGGCAGGCTCTCTGGCAGGCCAGAGCTCCAGAGCTCCCCTGGCGGCCACACTAGTCTCATGCCTTGATCGTCCACCCCATCATCACAACAAAACAGTCCCCACATTTCCCTGAGCTTGTCATTACAGTGGCATTTGGCATTGCTGTCCACACCGTTTCAGATAGCTCGAGATGCCTTGAAAGCCAGGTGCGGGTGCTATTGGTGGTTTTCCTCTGGTCTCTCTGCAGCTGGAAGGGCACAATATCTTCTCCACGCTGAGCTCCAGCGAGTATGAGCAGGTGCTGGAAATCATCCGGAAAGCCATCATCGCCACCGACCTCGCCCTCTACTTTGGGAACAGGAAGCAGTTGGAGGAGATGTACCAGACAGGGTCGCTGAACCTCCACAACCAGTCCCATCGGTAAGAACGATCGAGCAAAAGTCAATTACGATCTGGAACCCGGGGTTTGCGCATGCTCAGTGGAGGAAACCGGAAGGATGTGCCTCTGCTTGCGTGCGTTTCGGTGCTGGTTCCACCTTTTCTCCCAAGGATGGTGTGCGTGGTGGATTCAGATTCGTGTATCCATGTCGAGTGTGTTGTGAGCCACTCTACCTGCCTCCCCGCTTGGATGGTCCAGGCTGTTGACTTTCTTATGAGCAGTAACATAACAACTTCATTCCGTGTTGTCTAATAATTTTGACAGTGAACTCTTCCCTGGTATGTCTGAGCCTTATATACACAGTGTTACATGTGAGGTCGTTTCCAGTGGAAAAGCTTTGCGCGTTTTACAAAATCTAGTGTTATTATCATTGCTTTTACAGATCTGAAATGAGGATTGTTTTAATTAAACCTTGTACTATTTAGCATAAAATGTTGGGGGTTTTGGTGACAATACATTGAATGAGATTGACATCAATTGCATGAAATAATTATTTGTAAATATAATGCTAGTTTCCAAGTTCTATTTCTGTTTAATGAATTTCCCAACTGAAGAAGGAAACAAGTTACTTATTACTCTAGAAGATCAAATTCAAAAATTATTTACCTTTTAAGCTGAAAACTAATTGATCCAGAGACTTGTACGTTTCCCCGGTCACTTTAAGCTATTGCCTTGGGACACAATCTGCTTGGGATGACAGGCAGCTACACACTGGTGAATGTCTCTCAGTTATTTGACCCAATCTGTAGCAGATGTATCAAGCCTTTGGAATGTTCCCTTTCCAAAAAGCCAGATTGTGAAAGTTAGTAAGTGAAGGGAAGGAAACAGGGTGATGGCTGGCAAATGGTACTTTATGATGTGCTGATCCAAAACCTGTCGTGAGGAGGGGAGGGCCCTGTGTGACCTTGACAGATGATCCTGACAGATCCAGATTGTCCCCATTGACCAAGGCTGTGTCTACAATAGAGATATCCATTGGAAGCCCCATGTCCTTCAGATTCACTTAGTACATGCAAGCTGGAAGTGACTGCACTGTCTAGTCTGTTACACAGTTCTAGATCTCTGAGGATACCCGATCTTTGTAACGTATGCCATTTCCTCTAGGTGAAATCAGGCTGGTAACATTCCTTACTTCATTTCACTAGATGGAGGATTGCTCGAGAAAAATCCAGCAAAGTCAATATGCTTCTTTGAATTTTTAAGGCAGTATGTTCCTTTGAATTTTTAGTCCATTATTTTTCTTGACGAGGAAAGATTTATTTGTGCTTACACAGATAGGAAGTTAGACACACAGTGCATTGCTATAGATGCCAAGAAGCTAAGTGGAAAACACATTTCTTTGGCAGAGTCTGAGTTTGAACATGTTCTTGCTGAATAGCACAGCCTCAGGAGGAACGTGGCCTGTCCACTCCACATTCGAGCAAGCTCATGGCACACCCGAGCCCTCTCTCGATCTGGTCTCGACACTTCTCCCTTGGAGAAATTAAGCATTTTTTTGTACGCCTCAGACTTTGTGGATATAGAGTGAAAGCACTAGGCAGGTTTTCTCTTTAGGAGACACTTCACTTGCAGAAGTCTGCACTCTGAGGAGTGCCTGGCAATTTGGAAGGTAACAGAATGCCACCCGCTGTGTTTGCTTATACAGGGATACCTCAGCACTGGCAGCACAGAGCACACCCCTGTCAGGCTTGTAGCAAAATGTCCTGGTGTCATATTGCTTAATTCCATGTTGCTGCCCAGCCTGCTAGACTACATGGTTTTGCTTTTTAATGTTGTTTCTGTCGTAGGAAGTGACACACAGGCAGACTGTACTCCTGGAGATGCCTGTGCCCCCACCCTTACCCCCACCCCCATGGGTTCCTGGGAAAAGTACAAATCCTGCACTCACCAGTTTTGTATTGCCTTCTAGAGACCGTGTCATTGGCTTGATGATGACTGCCTGCGATCTTTGCTCTGTGACAAAACTGTGGCCAGTTACAAAATTGACAGCCAATGATATATATGCAGAATTCTGGGCTGAGGTATGTACTAGATTCCTACGTTTAACTTAGACATTAACAAGAAATGACCAAAATATCTTGGTAGAAATGAAGCACATGGCCAGCCAGCCTACCTGATGCCTTAATTGGTCATTCTAAGAGTCACTTTGGAAAAAACGGTGGTTAGTCACACATTGTAACACGTTCAGCTATTATGTAGTCATGCAGTGAAAACGCTGTTAAACCTATCTGACTGAGGGCAAGTTCTCTGATCCCCACTGAAAGCATTTAGCACTGTGCTCACTCAGCTTTGCTGCAGCAACTCTCCTTATTTGATAGCTGACCTTTGCCCTCTGGATATCCACTCCTGGGTAGCGCATCAGATGTGCACAGGACATGGTGGGTTCTGAAGCCCTGGGCTGAATCTGTCACTGGTGAGAGAATAGTCATCCTTCTTTGCCCGTGGCAGAAGACAGTGTCCCTGTGCTCACTGGCCAGCTCAGCTTCTGTCTTCTTTAAGGTGTCCAGCCTCGGAGCAGAAGTTCTCAATCTGTGGGTCGCTACCCCTTTGGGGACAAGGGTCACTGAAGACCATCAGAAAAGACAGATATTTACATCATAGCTCATAACAGCAGCAAAATTACGGTTATGAAGTAGCAACGAAAATAATTGTGTGGTTGGGAGTTACCACAGCATGGGGGTCTGTATTAAAGGGGCACGGTATTCAGAAGGCTGAGGACCACTAGGGCATATGCAGACACTTCATCTGACTGTGTAAAAGAACTCGTCTTAGTCAGTCAGTGACAGTGATACACGCTCGTGTCAAGTGCACTAATCCTTAACTGCCACGGTCTGATTGTCTGTGTGAGCTACAACACGTTCAATGAATACTACCTGGGAAAACTGGACTATTGCTTCACATGGTTTTTTACTGTGCAGATCAGACTTGACCTACTATGTTGAAATTCAAAGCTGTGAGTGGGAAATGTGATAGGCACATAGGATAGGTTCCCTCCCTGCAGACTCCATGGTGGATAAAACTCTAAGCATGGCAGGCAGCCTCCAGGACCTTGTCCTTCCTGGGCAGAGCCATAAGTAGTGTCCAGGTCCTGTCAGTTGATTTAAATCCTAAAGTCCAGGGTCTCCTCTCCTTCCCATCATGCCGCTGCTTCCCACTATGCCCGCCCACCCCTGAATTCCCTCATCTATGCCTTTTAGAAGTAAGTACAAGTGATGATGCTGGCAGGCTTGGGTCATGTGGCCCTGGTGCACTGTAGCCCTGGGCAGTCACACCCCATGTCAAGTGCTCCACCGCAAGCATGAAATCCGTGTCCTCACTGTACTGCCTTAGCTTGCCTCTGTCCCCCCACCATCCCTGAAGCTATTCATTAAGTGCCTGTCTGTCCCTTGCTTGTCCCACATCACTGGACTTCCTTTTCAGCATCGATCTTGCCTGTATGCATACGCCTTAAGTCACTTACCTAGAAACTTGTCCCCTCATGGGGTGTATGACATCACTGTGAGCAGGGGACTTGGTAGCTTTTACTCACTTGGATAGAGAGGAAAACAAAGAGACCCCGCCAGCTACTGTCTTTAAATCGAGGAGCAGAAGAGTTTTGAGAACCTGGGTGGTTCAGGGCAAGTTTTAGGGCACAGAGTTTTTAAATGTAGTAATTTATTCCCGACCCTTAACAAATCTTAGATGGTTTTGGTATGAGGCTGTGATTTCTGAGGGAAAAAAATCAATTAAATGATTAGTTATGCATCCTTGAGAAGATTTTAACACTTTAACCAAACAGAAGCAAGTGCCTTTGTAAGAGGCCATCTTGTGGCATCTCTAGAGGATGGTGTAACTCTTCATCCCAAAGCCTGGAGGGGGAAGTCCCCTAGGGCTCCGCCCATGGCAAGAATGCAGTACTGAGGTGTCAGGTGTCCTGGACCCCCTATTGACAGTTTTGGAAAACTGCTTATCATTCTTCAGTCAATACTGTTCAAGCCCAGTTTTACTCATTTCACACAAAGGGAGAACCATTTGACAAAAAAAAAAAAAAAAAAAAAGGCAAGAACAGCCTTCAGGCCTTCCCATCCTTCTCCCCCACCACACAGTGACAGAGACGGCCATTGCTCTGATATGTCTCTTGGGGCACAAGATATTTGTTTTGAAGAAAAATCTCATGAACACCGCAATGTCCTGTGTCTATTTGAAAATGACAGATAATTTTCCTCGTGTCTCTTGTAGGGTGATGAGATGAAGAAGCTGGGCATACAACCCATTCCTATGATGGACAGAGACAAGCGAGATGAAGTCCCTCAAGGACAGGTATGAAGAACGAGAGCCTTCTACATGGCTGTCCATCTGTCTGTCCGCCATCTGTCTATGGAACGTGGTGGTTTTTAACCCTCGGTAGAATTTTCTCAAACACAGAGCTCACTATTAAGTGTCTTCTATCTGGTCCCTGTGTTTGTGTGAACCTGTTGAAGCTCTGCCCACTCTGGGGTATAACCACCTGCCCCTTCCCCTTAGCTGACCCTTACACTGCACCGCCGTACATTGGGTTATAAGAATTGTTTGAAATACGTCTTGTCACGTAGTTTAAGGAAAGGATCTAACAAATTCTTTCCAAATAGTTACAACACATTCTGTCCCAGCAAAGTCTGTTTTAGTACTTACATTCAGAATAGTAGTTTGTTTTAAAATAGAATGAGTTTTGCCCAAAAAAAGTTAACTTCTTTTGGTAGCATGACGGGGTTTTAAATATCTCTGAGATGCACAAAATATTTTACCACTTCATCTAAATTCTAAATGTGCATACTGTGAAGTAATTTTGTCACAACAGTGAAGCGCTCTGCTCCCTCATTAAGCAATCTTTTTCTCCAGATGCTCTAGCCCAGTGACTCCTTCCTAAGGTTTAGAATAAGAGAATGTCTGCGTTAGCTATAGAATTAAAAACCAGTCCACTGTGCTGGTTCATCCCTGTAACCCTGGCCCCCAGGAGCCTGTGAAGGGCCACCCACGAGGGCCAGGTCCACCCAGACTTCAGAGGAGACACCGTTGTCTCAAACTTAGCTTCAAAGCAGTTCAAAGCGGAAACCCATAAGTGTTGCTCCAAGCATGAAGATTGTGGCAGTAACTCCAGTAGGAGACAGCAAATGGGGGCCATGAAGATTCCCTGCTGCTCCTCCTCTCCCATGTTCCCCAAAGTTCAGTTTCTAAAGAAGCTGCTGAGCTAACCTAGAGAGCAGATGGCTGCCTCTTTGCCATCTATTGGCCAGTCATGAAGAGGGGCTCCCTAGGGGGGAGGACAGTTACCTGTGCTCCGCTCAGCCCCCCACACCAATCCACATCTGCCTTTCATTAGAGCAGGCAGGGTAATGTCAGGTGTTAGAACTGTGAGTCTCACAGGCTGAGAGAGAGCTGAGCTAGGAGAACTTCAGTGAACACCATGAGGTCTTGTTGAAGGGCATAAGTCTGGGGTGGGGTATGGAGATGGCACAAGGCTAGAGGCCACAGAAGAAAACCGGAAATATATCAGCTGCCCCTGAATGCTAAGCTGGAAGAGAGTTGTTCAGGTGACAGGCTCTGAGCCTGACTTTGAAATGTCCACAAGGCAGCATTAAGTGAATGCATTGCCTCAAACAGGCCTTGGATTCAAGCCTGTGCCAGGTGAAAGTAGAATCTTGTTGAATTCACTTAAGCTTTGAATTCCATGGGTGTAAACTGTAGCGGTGTGTTGAGGAATTGCACATATACACCGTACGAAGCAGGAAAAGCACACAGCACACGTATAGGGCACACAGCACACAGCACACAGCACACAGCAGAGAAAGCAGATAGCATTCAAACACTGCACAGAGCACATGCAGCACACAGCACACTGCAGGAAATGCACAGAGCGCGCACACATACACAGAGCATACACAGAGAGCGCACAGCCCACAGTACGTAGCGCAATGCAGAAGACACAGCACACATACAGCCCATAGAAGAAACCACACACAGCAGGAACAGCTGAGTTGGTACTTAGGGGTGAGGGACAGAGAAGTGGAGAACGTCAGCTTTCTAACAGTGACACTGTTTCGTTTCTCTCTGTGGCAGCTTGGATTCTACAATGCTGTGGCCATCCCCTGCTACACTACCCTGACGCAGATCCTCCCGCCCACAGAGCCTCTGCTGAAGGCCTGCAGGTAGGCACAGCATTCCAAGCGGCTACAAAGCCATCCTGAACTCTTCTTGGGGTTTTCCACAGCCCACGGATATGCCATATTCACAGTGTACAGTGACTCTCCTGATTTGAAGCCCATGTTTCTGCGCCGGTATCCATTGGCCCTGCTCAGGAGTCTTGGGTGGTCCTCTCCCAAAGCCCTGCCCTCTTTGCTTTCTTCTTATCAGAGCTGAAACAAGGATACCAGCTGACGCTAAGGTAGCTTATTATGCAGCTCTGACAGGGTAAATGATGCTGGCAGCGTTTATCAGGACCAGGGTAGGTCAAGGGATAGACATCCAGCTGAGCTAAAGGGGTTGTGTGCAGAGGACCCCTTGAAATAGGGTTGTCACCTGTGCTGTGTGGTCCAGGCACGCGGAGTTTCCGGGAAAGCAGTCACTTCTTTCTTTAAGCGGCTCCCTTCTCAGTCTGTGAGTGTCAAGTCTGTGATCTGTGCTGGCCTTGACTCCTAGATTCCTGCCAGGCAGCACCCTATACCCTCTGACACTCAGTGTGGCCCCCAGACACTCAAAAAGGCCTTTTGTCATAAATCTCATTGCCAGTGTGTGTCTCCTTCAGTGACCTACGTACTGTCTATAGGCAGAGCATGCACATTCATTTTCTCCGAAAGACAGCAGGAGGCCTTGTCACCATGCAGAAGAATGCCCAGCTCTGTGTCTAAGGACCATGCTGTTCTGCTTAGATGATTGTCAGGAAAACAGGCTCAGCCTAAATTGCAGCTGGAACTGTATGTGGAAGAGAAAAAACTTGGGGGAGAGGGTGCCCTTCCTCCTGGGCATGCTTCACCCTCTTACCTGTTACCTGCTCTGGCTGCAGAACCACCCCCCTCCCCCTTTTCTGAGAGTCTAACTCAGTCAAGAACATTGACATTTTAAAAGATTCTAATTTCCTTTGTAAGAGAAGTTTCTCGAATATAAGCAGGGAGTGAATGGTGTCTGGGGCACGTCCTCACTGCCTGGTCTTGGTTGGAATGGACACCAGAGGAAGAAGAGGGCAGACATTTAGCCAGAAGGTGTTAAATAAAACCCAAATGTGGTGTGCTCTAGCCTCTGCTGTGTATTTCAAGACAGAGTTTCTCTGTGTAGCCCTGGCTATCCTGGAATGGGCTTGAACTCAGAGATATGCCTGCCTCTGCCTCCTGAGTGCTGGGATTAAAGGCGTGTACTACCATCTGGTTTATAGATTGCTTTTTAGAACATCAATTAAAACCAACAAGGAAGGCCACTTTAGATCAGTTGTTTTCCTGTCTGAGAGATGGCCTTTCTTCCATTCTTGGAAAGTGGTTCATCTTGTTGATCTTCAGTGGCCTGAATTATAGGGAGGTCACTAGAATTAAATCCATAGATGGTTCCACACCGTGGGCGTGGGCTGTGGCTCGCTCCTGGAGGGATCAAATTACAGGAAGTGCTGACATTAAAGCGCAGTGGGAATAGCAAAATAGCAAACCATCTGAATCCATACCTGTATTTTAACAACAATGTAAGATGAAAACACCCTTTCCTGTCTGCAACGCTATGATTTGTAATAAACATTTAGAAGCTGTCAGGGTAAGTAGCTGTTGGGCCTTCAAGCACAAGACTGGCTGTAGTCTGGTGAGTGTGGTAAGTAGCTTTGGGCAGCTTTGGTGAATCCCCATTTCTCTGTGCTTGGCGGACTGGGCCCATATCATTGTTTTAAGACTATTTTAGTATATAAATATCGTACACATGAACATTAAGGAAATTACTAATTTTGGTATTTGTCTTTTCCCAATGTTTCAGAAAAGCCTCTAAGATCTGGGGAAATGACACATTTTGGAGCAGATGAAGAGTTCTACCCTGCTTATGTCATAGTTTAGGACTCTTTATTTTTTAAAAGAATTGTTTTCCCTAAAGGTGTCTTAGCATGCTTGCTTTAAAAAGTTGGGGGATTTTTAGTAGTGCCATGTATAAATTTTGTGCTTGCCAGTGTCAAAGCATTCTTCAGACACTGACATTGTCAGTGACTGACAGTGTCAGGCTGGGATGCTGTGAAGAACTCTGCCAGGCACACAGAGGAGTCACCATTGCAGGGTTGCAAGGCCACGTGCCTGTGACAGTCCATTGGAGGACAAGGAGACAGGAGATTGGAGGACAGTTGGAGAACAGGGCTCCTGTGGAAGGTCACTGGAGGTGCCGTGTCTGCGGTAGGGTGTTTTGGAAACCCAAATCAGGGAATTTGAGTTGTTTTACACCTGAGAAGCTGTCAGGATAGAGGACCCTGAAGCAAGTGTAACTGGCCTCCCTAACTCCCTGTCATTTCTGCTCTCCCACCCGACACCCCTGGCTTCTTGCAGGGACCAGCCCCGGCCAGGAGCCCTATTACACACTTGCTGATTGCATCCTGGATAATGAGGAAATACAACCCTTTCTCCAACTGAGTTTCTGTTCTTTGCAGCCTAGAGCAGGTAGAACAAGATGCCCAGGGCTCTGTTGCCCCTGAGGCTCGCAGCTGAGGTGACATGGCATAGAGCCTGCCCAGACACCTCGCACCGGCCACTGTCAGCATCAGAACGACCCTCGACGAGGCTGTGCTCAGTTGTCCCACACTGGCGATGTCACCTTTGAAAGCCAGCCCAGGAACTCTTGTTTCGATGCCATCCATAACTACATCCTTTGTTCCTAGGGATAACCTCAATCAGTGGGAGAAGGTAATTCGCGGGGAAGAGACAGCAATGTGGATCTCAGGCCCGGTCGCTGGCAAGAGCACATCTGAGAAGCTGAACGTGAAGGTGGACGACTGATCCCGAAGCGATATCTGCCCAGCAATCGACTCAACCTGCTTCTGTGACTTTGTTCTTTTTATTTTCAAGGGGGGTGAAAACCCCCCCTCTCAGAAGGTACCGTCGCACATCCATGTGAAGCAGATGACTCCCTGCTTGCCGTTCACACCTCGGACAGTGAGCCGCCCAGGCTACACCGTGTTCAGATGTCGGCTATTCCGTGGCTCCACCTGACCTTGGAATGCTGTTTGCTACCAGGCCAGCACTGCACTGGCTGGAGGGGGCAGAGACTACGGGAGGGGTCCTTGCCTGCATCCTTCCATGAGGGTGTGGCCAGTACCCTGGTTCTGTGCTTCCTTTCTCTAACAGCAATGCCGCTGCTTGGTGGCATTGGTTAGAAATGGGACACACGCCCCCCCCCCCCCCGTTGTGAAGTTTACATGTGACCTTCCTGTAGGTTAACTAGGTTTGTAGCCTGGGACACATGTAATGAAGGTTACTAGTCCATGGGTTATAGAGAAATGCAAGCTGTTGATTACAGGTGCACTACAGGTGTGTTCTTTGAGTTTCTCTGGGAGCATGTAGGTGAGTCAACGCCACTCAGAAGGAAGCATACCTCTGCCCTCATCAAGGGGACACAGGGTACATCCCAGGCTTCGGGGAACTGCAGCTCTCTTCAAACCATGTCAAAGAATTAAAACAACCCCCCCTCCTCACTGTAGCCTTTGGCGACTTTGCCAAACCCTTTACACAAAGAAAATAAAAGTAAGGCGTATAAATTTCCTCCAGCAAGCAAATCTTGTGAGTAAAAAAAAAAAAAATGTGAATTTTAACAATCTCTTTATATTTTTACTGTGCGTTATGGCAGAATTTTAGTCACGTCCAAAACAAAAGATTATTCCAGAGGACACCTCATCCCATGTCGTACCCTCCTCAGAGGCGCCGACAGCATGGCAGTCTCCTGGGGTTCTGATCCCTCTCCTCACTGTACAGTCCTCTCTGGACAGGAGGAAACGCAGGACCACCACATTGACCCTGCTGGTGTCTCCTCTCACCATTCAGAGATCCACAATGAAGGCTGAACGCCATTGTGTGTGGCTAGTTCTCCAGTGTGTGTGATCTTCTAGAGAAGCCAGGATGCCCTGGGCCCTCCTTGTGGAGTTCTAAGGAAGTCACAGGTTGACACCATGGGGATTTTCAGGATAGCAGCCTGGAGACCAGAGAATCCAAGCTCCGTTGTTCTCACTCAGTGAGCCTTGAGAAGGAAGAGACTGATCAGAAACCAACACTGGCAGAAGTGTGAAAAGTTGCTTTAAAACGAATTTTTTGAATAGATGTTGATACCTGATCACCATACACACAGGAGCTTGGCATCTGCAAAGTCTATTCAGTTTCCTTCCACACATTGACTCACAGTTGTAGCGGAGTGGGCTGAACACAAGCCGTGTCTTTAACACTGTACATGTGATTTTCCCCACAGGATTCTAAAATGTTACCATCTCCTCCCCACCCCACCCCTGCTGTGTGCTACTCCCTTTTCTGTTATAAGGTGATGTCAACGAGAGAAGCTACCACAACACCAGGGCTGTGCACACATGTGCACACACATATATGCATGGTGTGGGGGACAAGCACACACATATATGTACAACACATACACACACACACGAGACAAAAGGAGAGAAAAGAAAGAAGCAAGCATTTATTAAAAATAAAAAAAGAAAGTCACCTTCATATTCAAAAGCGGTTGTTTTCCCTGTAGGGAAACAGGTAGCTCTCCATAAAGACATGAGTATGAGTGTGTTCTCCCATGAGTGGTCACTGAAGCTAGTCCACCTTTCTCATACAAACAGGTGTCACTGGCTTCAGCAAAAAGCCACCCGATCCACACAAACTGATTGTCTATCATCTTGGAATCTGAATTGTAGGAAGGGGCAGCATATAAGACGGCTGTTTAACTCAGGCATTCCAAAGGCATGCGTGCATGGATTCTGTCCCCTAGCATATAAAAGGACCCTGGCGTTGGGACACCTATGACTGCCAATTTCTTTTAATTTGACCTAAGCAAGAACATTGTATGGCCTGGCCCTGCCTGGGCAGTTTTGCAGAGGAACCTGCTGGAGCTTTATTGGCTGTTCAGTCTCTTGTGAAATAGTATCCTGTGAGAAAGCTTGGAAAAAAGACTGTATCTGGGAAGACCTTTGCAACATTGTTCCCTCCATGTGCCAAGACTCAGTTAGGAGGCGTGAATCTGCCCAAAATAAACTAGGCCAGGATACAGCCATGTTTAGTTAATAATTTGATTTTAAAATTCATGCATTCAGGAGTGGTTTTTGTGTGTCTTGGCAAGTGGAGTGAGTACATTTAACATACAGGGACGTGAAATCCCACCTTTTGTCTCTCGAAGTTGTTTTCTCTCCAAAGGTTTCCAGGAATTTCTCATTAACGGCTGATGCAAACTTAGTGGCTAATAATGAATATAAACAGAATGTTCAACTCACCAAAATTATATTATTTACAATCATTGGTGATACAAAAATTTTATAGCAATGGTGATTATTTAATTTGCTTCCACACTGTGGTTATCTTCTTATTTTTTTCTTTCTGAGAAAATGTTCCCAGATACATAAGTGCATGCCAACACCAACATGAAGTATTGATCCCGGGGAGTAAAATACAGTTCTAAAGTTTGTAAACATCAACTATATGTCAGTTCATTAGAGGCTGTGGGGACAGTGAAAAGCATTCTGCTGTGGAGGTCAGCATTCCACCTTGCTAGGAAGAGAGCAGTTGAATCCTGTCCCTGGCTCCCTCCTGCCTGACAAGTGTTGTCAGACTGTTGCTGAGATATTCCAAGTGACCCACCCCCACCACTGCACAAATAGCTTGATGTGACCTGTTTAGTGTGGCTCTCCTCTTTTAAGCATGTGTTAGCATTTTTATTTTATACATACCCAGTGAACTCTGCTCTTTCAAGTGTGTTCATGTATGTGCTAGCTATATTAGCACAGCCTGCCTGCTGCTGCAAAACGCCCTAGAGACCGGGCCTTTCAATGGGCTTAACTTGGTGTGCTGTGTTTTCTGCTCTCTTAGGTCTAAATTATGGTGTCACCTTTAATAGGACAAAAGTATGCACCTCGCCTTGGCTGGTCCCTTTCTGTTTTCAATGCTGACTTCTCCCCTTTCTCTCCTGTGGTCACCCTACCTTTCCAGAGTGTAAGGGACAACATTTAAAGGAGCGTGTCCCTGGTAGGGGCATCCCTGCTCACCAGGTCCCTGTCATCATCCCACCTCACTGACATCTACCCTGGTGACTTGGGATCCTCTTGTTTGTGGGGAACTGTGGCTCCAGTTAGCGGCACCAATCTGTTGTGTTCTGGCTCCCCAGCTGCCTTTGGTTTTGAAGGTCTCTTCTCTCTGTACATCCCACCCCTGCATTTGCTTTGCGCGATCCTGATGCTGTGTGCACTAGGATTCTTGGAAGACTATCCATCAGTCACAGACTCCTCCTGTGGCAAGATGTCAGGGTGACTCGACAGTCATTGTGAAATCTGAGTTAGTCACACACTCACTGCCAGCCGCGGCTTCCCCTCGCATGGCTCTTAGATTTTCACACATGAGTTTCTGCGGCCGCCTATCTGGCTGGCATTATCTATAGTAAGTTGAAATCAGAGGTGCCCAGCGGAGGCCGTCGTTCTCACTGTCTTTGAAACAAAGGGTGTACGGTTTGATCAATGAAAGTATTTAAGGCGTTTCATGCAATGACAAAATGCTCAGTAGTGGAAGGCTGGCTGTGATCAGTCTGCCTGCGCCCCTACTGCAGTTGTGAGGGTTTGTAACTGGAACAGCACACGGAGGCCTGACCCTGTGGGGGCGCAGGAAAAAGCCAAGCACCAAGGTGGAACTTTAGTTGAGTATAGCTTGTGTCTCAAGAGGAAGTCAGGGTACATATCTCAGTGCTCAATCTCCAGGTACTATACATTTGCCAGTTTTATCTCTAATGTGAAATAAACTCCCAAACACCTGTTTATTGTATAGCCCACCTAAAACACTATTCTATTATGGGCATCCCCACTTTTTTTCTTGGTTTGGTCATCCCGATCTCCGGTCTTCTGCTGTATCTAGAACAGTGAATAATATGATTGATGTATGGGGATACTGTTTCCATATGACCTGTTGTCTGGAGTATATGCTACATGTTCACTTACTGTACAAAAAAAAAAAGGGCAGCTGATTGGTGCACAGCAGTATCTCTCTGTGTACAGTGCCCCACCGATTTAAGAATCACGGACTTGCCCAGAACACTGTGAAACACTTACCAAACGACAAACGCAGCGTCTGGATTCTTTCTAAGAAGAGCAACTTTCTCCACAGGAACACAGTAACAAAAGAGATCCGCCGCCGCCATCCACACCCAGCCAAGACACCTCAGAGGCCATGGGGACAACCTCCTTGATGGCCAACACCTGCTGGAGCAGGGGCACAGGTCCCAAGCAACTGATCCTCAGTGGATGGGTCTGCAGCCAAAGCCTTAATGGGCTCTCTTTTGAAGGGGAAAGAAAGAATTTCAAGCTAATGATATCCAACATTATTGTAGTTGATGAGTTAGTAAATTCCAAAAAAAGATGATTTTATATGTATGACATAAAAAAAATCTTTGTAAAGTGCGCAAGTGCAATAATTTAAAGAGGTCTTATCTTTGCATTTATAAATTATAAATATTGTACATGTGTGTAATTTTTCATGTATTCATTTGCAGTCTTTGTATTTATGAAAAAACTTTACTGTTATGTTTGTATAATAGAACATTAATCATTTATTATAACTCAGACAAGGTGTAAATAAATTCATAATTCAAACAGCCAGTATATATGCATATATGGGTGTTACATTGCAAAAAAAAAATCTCTATCTTTGTTCTATTCACATGCTTAAAGAAGTAAGAAATCTTTTGTGGATATGTAATTATACATATAAAAGTATATATATATATATGTATGATACATGAAATATATTTAGAAATGTTCATAATTTTAATGGATATTCTTTGGTGTGAATAATTGAATACAAAATTTTTAAAATACCATCTCTCAAGTTTGCTCTCATTTGTGGGGAAGGCGACAGATGCCCAGAGAAGCTGTCCATAGGTGGCAGCCAGATCTTCCCACAGACACTTGCTTGGCTGGGAATCAACACAGTCTGTATGAAATGCGGCTGGGAAAATGCTTTGTCTCTACAGAGAGGAGCCAGAGGACAGCTCCTCTGTATAGTGTTACTTCTACTTCTTGCTCCTGTCAGGTTAGTTTTTGTTGACTTGACACAAGCTAGTGTTATCTGGGAAGAGGAACCTCCGCTGAGAAAAAAATGCCATAGTAACTGGCTCATAGGCAAGTCTGTGGAACATTTCCTTGATTAACGATTGATGCGGAAGGGCCCACTATGGGTGGTGCCACACCCTAGGCTGGTGGTCCTGAGTGTGAAATAAATGAGCCTGAGCAAGCCACAGGAAGCAAGGCAGTAAGCGGTACTCCTCTGTGGCCTTCTGCATCATCAGCTCCTGCCTCAGCTCCTGCCTCTAGGTTCCTGCCCAGTTTGGGTACCAATTTCCTTCAGGGTTGGAATATGACCTGATCATTGTAAGCTGAAATAAACCACCTCCTCCCCATGCTGCTTTTGGTGGTAGTGTTTATGACAGCAATAGAAACCCAAGACAGTGGTAGACTGTGTATATATGCGCCCTTCCACCCCCAACAATACCACCACCTCTCTGCCCTAAGCCTGATTGGGAAGAGGTCAGGGATGTGGCTCCATGGTAGGGCATATGCCTCTAACCATAGACCTGGGTTCCAGCCTGGCACTGTAAAAAAGTTGTTAGTTCCCTTGCACACCAAATCCTGACAGCTGAAAGCAGCACAAAGCCACTTTTCCACCAGGCTGAAAGGAGCCTAGGCTCTGGGTCAGAATTCAACTGCCTGAGTCATAGGTCAAGGTCACCTGGGGCCAGCTGCAACTCTGCTCTTCCTGACTTTCCATAGCACTTACTATTGCTGCTCAGGAGGCTCTTCCCTGGGTGGACCTAGGTGTCTGGTCCTTCCATCCCTCGGCCTTCAGAAGCCACCCTGTCTCCCATGTGGGGACAACATGGGTAGTAAGCCAGGGATTTGCTTCCAGAAAAATCCAGCTCAGTTTTGACAGGTCAGTGGATTGCACCAATAATAATTGAATATACTTCTCCTTCAGTCACTTTGATAGACTACTAAACAATAGAAGGGTGTCTGAGTGTTACTGTATTCTTAAGGATCGACACATATTCAACCCTTGACATTCTGATTTTTGTCAACTAGGGTAGAATGATTACCCTGACATAAGCCATGATGTGGAAGAAATTTTTTTTGGCTGTAGAAAAAAAAATTAACACTTTCCACGGGAGGTGCCGCTTTAACTAGCACATGCCTTGTGCAAACCAGAATTCTTCCCTCCCTGCCTGAACTCAGGATCTCAGCTGGTGACCCTATCACGTGTTCAGAAACACCTCTGCCCTCTTCTTTAGAGTCCTCTGTGCTCTGGGCTAGAACCAAGGAGTGCAGCAGAGGCTCATTCACTGGGGACACACAGGGATGTGTTATCTTTGGTCCCTTGTGCTGTAATGAATCTGCCTTGTTTTGTTTTGCAAAGTAAAGCCAGTGAGCATCCCTCCAGAGATCCCAGGCCTGGCTGAGGAGAGGTGGCAGACCCTGGCTGCTCTGTTATCCTGGCACCCTGTGGCCAGGCCCCAGAGTTACACTGTGGGGGCGGGGCTAGGAATGTTTATTGTTTCCGTGGCAACTGCAGCTTCCGTTAGCAGCTAGCGATCAGAGGGGCGATGGCTGAGGATATGGAACCTGATTGTAAGTGGTCTGCCTCTATTTTTATGTTTGTCTAGCCCAGTTGATGTTTGACTGTCTGGGAAAGCTGGTTTCTCAGAAGTGGTTTTGAAAGTAAAAACCTTTCTGGTAGCGGAAGGTCAGCTCCTGGATCAAGAGGGTTTGCTTGGATCTAGAGAATCTTAGACTCTTCAGAAGCTTGAGGAAGCTGGCTACTTCTGTCCACAAGCGGAAACAGAGCAAAGAACGCATGCGCACCAGTGCTCCACTCAGTTCCCCTTCAGTTCATTCCAGGGCCCGCCCAGGAAACAGAGTGAGCCTTCCCACTTCAGCCCATTTAAGAAAACCCCTCAGGGCAACCTCATCTAGATAATTTCTTTTGTGAGTTCCTTCCTAGATTCTATTTTGAATCAGGCTGATAATTAAAAATAGCTATCACCTTAGTGTCTGTGTTATAGGATGTGTGTGAAGGTGTATGGTGTACCTGTATGTGTTGATAAGTACCTTGGAGGGAAAGGGATGGAGGACCTCACTCTACTAGTTCAGTGCTTTTTGCGAAACTTCCTGTACCAACCACACCACTCTCTTGAAACATGATTTACAGGTCAGAGAGGCAGGCACAGTCAGGTGTCTGTCTCGAATGCATAGTTTATTGTCCATATGTAATAACAGTGGGGAGCAACTCACATGAAATAAATCTAACAACCTAACAGTCCGCCTCTAAGTGACACCACCAATATCCAGAGGCAGAGTTCACTTAGGGACTGTTGCTAGAGCAACAGGTTGCGAGTCCGATGTCCCAGTGCCAGCCAACTCCTGTGTCTACATCCAGTGTTGGGGACGTCGTTGAGGGGATGCTGGCCCCACTGCAGATGTCCCTTGAGAGTGACGACGCTGACTGGTACAGCCTCAGTTGTGCTTAGCCAGGTCAGCCAGCATGCTGGACCCTCAACACCCACAAGTGTCAGAGCCAGGTCATTGGCAGGACATCTGCTGGGAGACATGGTCTTTTGTTGTTAGAGTACTCACGCAGGTGGCTCATGTCCGCTGAGGTGGTATATTGCAGACTAGCATCTGCTGAGGTTCCTGGAGCCTGGATTTTTATGACTTTTCTGAGACTAGTCTAGTTTTTGCATGTATTGTGTTCATGTGTGTGTTGGTCAGTGCCTCGGAGGGAGGTATCCCTCCTATAACATCCTATAACACAGGCACCAAGGTGATAGTTACTTTTAATTATTTATCTGACACAAAATAGAATCCTGGAAGGAACTTTCAAAAGAAATTATCTAGATGAGGTAGCTCTATGGTCATGCCCTGGGGGGTTTTCTTTAATGGGCTGAGGTGGGAAGACCCACTCCGTTTCCTGAGGAGCAGGGTCCTGGAGTGAACGGAGGGTTGAGTGAATCACTGGTGCGCATGCGTTCTTTGTGCCCTGTTCCTCATTCGATGTGTGTCACCTGATCCCAGGGCATTGCTGTTTACACCCAGTTACTTCTGCGGTCAGCGCTGGCTTGATGTTAGGACAGTGAGAAGAAGGGTCTCCAGTTCGTGTCTTTATTTTGTTCTACACGTTCGCTACTCTCCCACTCACAGTCCTCCCTTGGTGACTGCGGCACGCGCAGATCTTTCACCATGTCCCAAGTGCTTTCTCTTCGTGCTCCACAGGGCTTGCCTGAATGCTGCTCATGGAAACAGAATTAGAATCAGAGGCTGGTTTGGTTGAGAAATAGGGTCCAAACTGATCTTCATATTAAAGGCTGTTGTTTGTATCTCTCATCCCCACCCCCAAAAGATGCAAGTCTAAAAAAAAATCATATTAAATGATGAAAAACAAAATAATATCATATTCAATGCTAATAAAAAACATTTTGGGTATTTAATTTAATCTACATTTTGTCCATCAGCCCTGATGTTATGTTTTCCTCATCAACAATCTTTAAAAAAAAAAAAGTCTTGTTTTTCCTCAAAGCTGATTTGTTCTCAGGTCCTTTGTGAGGGAGCCTCACTGGCCTGGGATCAGCATAAGCTTCCTTGTCTTTGGGAGTTGGGCAGACACAGTGGGAGGCACAAACTTCTCGTGTCAGACTGTGCACAATTAGAACAGAGCATGTGGCAGGTAGTGTAAGATTCCGGCAGAGGGAATGGCATCTGCCTTTGCCAACTCCCATGCAAGCTATGTAAAACCCCTGCTAAGCCAGGGCTTCTCAGCTCGGGGGTTACCACCCTTTGGTGGCTGAACGACTCTCTCACAGAAGTGGCATATCAGACATTCTGCATATTAGATACTTACATTTACATTCATAGCAGTTGCAAAGTTACAGTTATAAAGTAGCCATTGGATAAATTTATGGTTGGGGGCTCACCACAACATGAGGAACTGTATTAAAGGGTCAGAGCGTTAGGGAGGTGGGAGGTTGAGAACCGCTGTGCCAATTAGAAAAGCCTCACTGGACTGGTGGCTTTCAGTCTTTTCTGGACATAAGCTAACAGAAGGACGGCTCTGATACAGCATGTACCCCACAGTTGGTGACATATATTTTTCCTGCTTTTTCTGTTCATGCTTTGGATGAAATGCAGGACTATTGGTTTTGATAAAAGTCACGTTAATATTTTATCAATTGGTAAGGGCATATCTTTGAGAGTACTGAGCTGATCAGTGAGGGGAGTCCTAAAACCCCATTCCCAGAAGTATTTGTGTCACCATCCAGCCATGGTCACTCAAGTAGGGCAGAGTATGGCTCATTTTCATCTAGGGCTGTGCTGGGGTGGCTGAGAGCTGGGTTTGACCACATCCCTAAAGGGACAAAATCCTGAGATGACCAGAGCTTATTTACTGCTTGGTGGGACCGCAGGCATCACTTCCAGGGATGAAGACGGGAGGAGCTTTGGTGATGTCCATGTACCATGGCCCCAAGACAGTTTATCATCATAGGAGCCTGCTGACTAGAAGCAAAGGGTGGGAAGCCATTACTCACTCAAAGATATAGGGCTCCACATCAGAGAAAATGAATGGTTTCTAGAGGGGAGAGCTACCTGGCCAGCCATGGGGGTGTTGGGGGTAGGCGCTGCCCTGATGAAGTAGGAACTGGATTCTGACAAAGAGAACAAATCTGAGAGAGATTCCCTGAGGCTTCCAATCCTGCGTTCTGGTCCTGCGATGCCAGACCAGAGTACTCGGAGCTTGGAGTCCGGTGGGCCGGCACACTCGTGGCTACTGTCAAGCAGGAGGAAGTTCTGCTGGCCTTCTGTTCCTTTCAGGGTGTGTCCTGACTCCCCAGATGATGTTTTTAGGCCAAGACTGGGCACATGTGTGGAACCGCATCAAGCATAGGTTCTGAAAGTCCCCATTCATCCTGCCTACCTGGGCTCAGGGAACATGCAACAAAAGTAGTCCAACAGCTGGTGAAGAATGTGCTTAGCAACCAGCTCTGCCACATTAAGGGGAGACCTTGATAAGCATCTCAGCATCCCTCCTCAAGGTGGCTGTGCAGCTACTTACAGACGGGCTCATCCTGAGGACTTCTGGCTGTGACAAATGATGGCTGTAGGGACATCCTGTGAGCTTAGACTTAAGCTGCTCCTCAAGACTCAGGAGAACCTGGCCTACCACTTGGAGCCTGAGTCTTGGTGGCTGTGGGGACAAGAGAGGTTCCAACCTTGCAGAAGGGGTGACATTTGTTTATCCCTCCCCCCACCCAGGACCCTCTCAGAAGTTATGCCTCTGGTATTGTAGATATCTGTGGACTCTCTGCCCTTATAGCAGGAAATGATGCTTCAGGGTGCATAAAAACAACCCTGGACAGAAGTCCCCTTACCTGAGAGTTCCTTCACAGCCGATTGAATGTTGTGTCCCATTGACAAGATTATTCAGATTGGTCTTGAAGGGTTGTGAGTTTTATGCCTATAAGAGCACCCAGGGCACCCCCCTGTGCTCTTTATACTCAGCTACACCTGAGGTGTCTTGGACTTATAAGGATGACACTGGGTGCTGTTTTCTTACCCTCTCTGAAGACCCCTCTTTTCTATGACAGACATACAACAGGGCTGCCTTTCTGTGGACACAGGAGGGGCCTCACTGTTATGTTTTTTTCTCTCCTGAGCAGTTTACCTAAAGTGGAAGCACTGTGAGACACAGGGTGTTAAGACTCTATGCAACCTGAGGAAACTTCTGTCCCGACTCCAGGAGGACCACAGGAAGGATATCTATGTGTACACTTCAGGACACCTGAACCCCAGGAAGCTCTACAAGCCACCGGAGACCATTTTCCAGCACTGGCGCAATGCAAACAAGTCATGGCAGAAACCCAGCACCTCCACATCCTCTGCCATCTCCTCTATTTCCAGAAAAGAACAAGTCTCAGAGATGAAGGATGCTTGGGTTCGCTTTACAGTGAACACAGCCCTGCATCCCGATGACACACACAACACGCCACTGTTCAGGTATCTGAACCCACGAATACAGTCCTCCCATGCCCTCAAAGAAGGTGAAACCTCCACATCTCCACAGTATGAAGAGGAAGAGGAACTAAAGGAAAGACCTGTGTTTTCCCGGGAAACACACATGAAGGAAGAGCTCAGGCTGCCTGAGATGAAAGTCCTCAGATACTCAGAGGTGGTATCCAGCCGCCAGTGTTCCAGGTCTGCCCCAGGCAGGGATGTGTACCAGTACATCAGCTCCTACCTAGCTGGTATAACAAAAGCTGACAGATACAAGAAGTTCCTAAGTTTCCAAAGAGAAGTGCTAGCAAAGGATGATATCCTGAAGTATGATTTCACGGGGAGCAAGGTGGCTGTGAACCATGAGAACAGACTGAAGGAGGTAAGGGGAGGGGACTCTGCAATGTTGTCAACATGGGACCGAAGCTCAAAGACCCTGTGGGCCCCAACTCATCCTGAGGTACCTCAGTTAGGGGTCCAGAATGCAGCAAAGCTGCTGGCACCTCTAATCCCCAGCAAGGTCAATAAAGTGACATTTGACAGGGGTAAACTGGTGGAGAATTCATGACCAGCAGCACTCAGTGATTGATGGGGCAGTTGTGGAAACACTGTGTCTGGACTCCGGGAGAATGTCTACCTTACCTCTTATAGTAGATGGGAGAGAAGAGACTGGGCAAGTGATGGCACAGAGGCCATTGGGTTAGAGATGATGGGGTATGCTGGTGAGGGCTGTGATATGTGAACTGACTGTGGGCTGAGAGGGACCTGACTCACTAGGGAAGCACACTCTGGGAAGAATTCAGTAGAGGAGAGAAAAGAGCCATGTATGTGTCAGAGAGCCAGAGCCCAGGGTTTGGGCCTATTTAAGTTGTGGGAAAGGGAAGGCTCCTGAGGATGTCTGTCAGGGCAATGTGGGGGGGGTGGTTAGAGAGGGACAGAGGATGAGCCTCTGATTGCAGGAAGCAGGGATGGATAAGGAAAATGGGACCTAAGCAAACACACACAGTGACCTGGCTTTTAGCAGCCGTGGAAGGGAATCAGGCTCATGGATTTGCCAGCCCCTCTGCAGAGGCCAGTGCCTGGGTGGCCTTTTCTGACTGATTTCTCAGAAGGACACACTGTTCTGAGAGAAGCATGAGGACCCCACCCGTTTCAGGAACTGGCTCTCCGTCTTCCCCTAGGAGCTCCAGAATATATGCACCTACAACCCCCAGCAGTTCAACAGGTTGCAAGTCTTTGGGGAAATCTTTGAGGATATTTGCAACAGCTCTTTGATCTTCGGGGATCTCCTGAAAGAGGTTAAGGTAATTGCACACATCTTCCACAGGATGGTTGAGAACCGTCCATGACAAGCATGAAGCTGTGCACAGACAGCTGCTCATGCACACACAGTGGCTTGTACACCTAAGGATCTCATGCCTCTTAGAAATTACAGTCTCCATTCCACAGAGGAAGGCATCACTCAGTCAGAGAGACTCATGGGGATCCACTCACTGTCTTGTCAATCATGTGAGCCACTTGAAGCTAGCACTGAGTTAATTTGCTGCTCGGCTCCTATGATTTCCCGCCAGAGCTTCCCAATTATGAGATCTGAACAACACGGCATATAAGCTAGCTTTCACAACTAGGCACTTATATGTTTATATGGATCTTTCTGGGGTTTTCAGTTTGTCGTGATTTTGTGATGGAAGTAGCTCTGCGGAATCCAGTTTGAAAGTTAAGTTGTTCAAGGCCTGTTCTAGTTAATTATCTGTTGCTGTGATGAAACAACCCAAACTAAAAGCAAGACATGGATAAAAGTGTTTATTTTAGCTTATGGTTCCGAAAGGATAAAGTCCATTGTGGCGGGAGCCATGGCAACAGGCAGGGAAGACATGGCAGCAGAAGCAGGAAGCTGGTTGATCAAAGTTTCATCCATGCACAGGAAGAAGAGCAATAACAGGAAATAGGGCCAGGCTATACATACTCAAAGCCTGCCTTCAGTGGCTCACTTCTTCCTGCAAGGCATTACCAACTAAAGGCTCCATAAGTGTTCAAATACATGAGCCTGTGGGGAACGGTTCTCCCCGGAGCCATCACAAAGCCTGTGCTGTGATCTGATTCCCTAATAACAAGAGATGGGTAATGAGGGCTATGTGCTGCTCGCAGGACCCTGGCCACCTCACCTTCAGCAGGTCTCAGAACTACTCACGGCAGGGGATATGTTGAATGCAGATCAAGGTTTTTTACAACAGGAACTTGAACTGATCAGTAGCTGGTAGTCATTAGGATTCAATGACAATTTTTTAAGTTTGTGCGCACATGTATTTGAGCATATTGCAGAAAAAGTTTATACTACACAGGGTTAGGGTCTGAAGTTAACAGACATCCTTAATGCCTATGTGTTTTATTCATGTAAAAAAATCATCCTAGGGCCCGGGGAGATGGCTTACTGTATGTAGTGCTCAGTGAGTAAGCACAAGACTCTTGACTCTTAACCTCTAGCTCCCTCACAGAAGGTAGGTGTTACTGGAACAAGGCAGAGACACAGGAGGAGCCCAGCTTGTCTAGCCAGCCTAAGAGCAGACATGGGGTGGGGAGTGACAGAGGAAGACACATGATGTCAACCTCTGGCTTCCGCATGCACACATGGCTGCTCGTGCACATAAGTATCTACATGTAGCCCACTCCCATACACGAGCCTGGTGACATTGTTGTGTTTTGTGTGTGTGTGTACAGGATGAATATGAACTTTACATGGCAGCTCTCCTGGACTCACAGCTCACAGCACAGTATCAGGTAATAACCATCAGGAAGGATATCAAGAGAGCCTGCATGCTCGTGGACTTGTATATCTCAGGAGACTCTCAACCTGAGAAGCCCCGTTTGTTTCTCTGTCATGCAAAGTGCTGGTGTTTCTTTTCTTTTTCTTTTTCTTTTTTTTAAAGGGATGATTCTCATATCAAGTTAAAGTATTCTGGGTGAGTATCTGGCCTGAATATTAAAACACCCCTGGGTCACTCTCTAACCACAGCCATCACATATGACCAGGAACATAAATGGTGCTATAGTGATTACCAGAAAATAGTATTCTGTTGTCACTCAGACTGGGTAGATGGTGACAGCTGGTGACCTAGAGCCACAGTACAGATCACTGGCTCCTTGTGCAACTTTTCCATCAGTCTCAGTGGAAAAGTGGGTCAGTGGGTCAGTGGGTCAGTGGGTTAATAGGTCAGCATGTCGTGTTCTATTAGGGAGTGTCCAATGAGCATGACAGAGAGCTCCAAAAGCTCCAAGAAGCTGATACCTAGAGGTTAGTAACTCTATCTTCTGAGTAGAAAGTATAATATCTTACTTTATATGCCAAAAAAAACCCACAAAAAAAAAGTACAAACCATCAACAACCCCCAAACCCTAGCAAAAACCACATGTGGGCATTGCATCCTGTGTTCTGAGACTTTTCCTGCTATATGATAATAAGCCTGGGGAAGGAGCTCAGTGATTAAAACCACAGGCTGCTCTTGCAGAGGACTCAGGTTCAGTTCCCAGCATCCCCAGAGGTGGCTCACAACCATCTGTAATGCCAGTTCAAGGAGCTCTGATTTCCTCTTCTGACATTCGCAGACACTGCATATGCATGTGGTGCGCTGACATATACGCAGGCAAAATATCCATACACATAAACATTAGGTAGACAAATCAATAGTAGATAGGTTGGTGGATGGATTGATAGATAGATAGACAGATGACAGATAAATGGATGGATGATAAGTAGTAAAAGCAGCTATCTCTGAGGACTGAGCAGCACCTGCAGTCACGGACTTAGCGCTCCTTACTCTGCAGTAGAGCAGAAAAGGAAAGTGTATCCCCACATCTCAATCAAGCATCAAAATGAGGGAGCTGGCAGGCATCCAGAGCTCTTCTTCCTATTCCCGAAGCCCAGAGGACCACCTAATGAGGCAGAGGCCACCAGCCTGAGCTGGTAGTTTCCAGCACGAGCCCCGCATGTCTTTAATTCCACATAAAGATTGGCAATTAAGATCATCTCTCACACATTTGAAATAATTAATAGTGATGTACACATCCCTTTATTCGATGTTTTTCCCCAACCCAACTCTACAAAGAAACCGTGAAACCCCTGCCAATCTTAAGAATTCTCAGGAAATTGCAAGTCTTAAGCTATTGTTAATATTATTTTACTTGGAACATTGCCAATATTTTTCCCTTCCCTCCAGCCCTCCCAATGCACAAATTTAGTTGGAATTTACATTTTACCCCGCGACCCCTGGGCCATACACGAATAACATCCAGGCCAGGGCATCCTACCTGACCATCTTACCTTTGTGTGCTTTGTTCCCGATAGCGGCTCCTGGCTGAAGTCAAGGGGTTGGAGAAGAGCCCAGTGCACAGCAGTGACATTGATCAAGCCAAGGAGCATCTGAGGAAGCTCCAGCAGGCTGCCCTGGAAGCTCTGGAGCGCAACAACAGGTAAGGTACCAGCGTGCGATTCTGGCAAAGTTTCAGTTGATACTCAGCAGAACAGTGATGAGCGGTCTTTTTTTCCTGCATTGGCTTATGTGGCACCTTATTGACTACCTGTACCAATGTTGTCCCATTAACCTGGACTCTTCTGCAAGCAACTGCATAATAACCATGGTGGGCCAAATACGCTGTCCTGATGCCAGAGGTCTCTGAAAGATCCTCCCCAAGGACTTTCTGATGGGACAGAGAGTGGTGGGGCCAGAGAGAGCCTTCTGATTCTACTAACTTAGAATAGCCTGTAACCACTCTGAGCGGTTGTTATTTGTAAGGGCTAACATATAGAAAGACTAGAGCGATTCTAAACCAACTCAACAAAAAACTGTTGTAAGAAGCAAAGACCTGAGTGTGTTTTCAGTGTGTAACCAGAGGGAGAGAGCGTTGCCTCTCACTTTAGTTTGCTCTAAAGCTCTCTCAAAGCGTGGTCACCTAAAGCTGTCTCAAAGCGTGGCCACCGTGAACTCCTGCCCTCCTCCAGGGCCTGCAGGGTTGGCTATGGATGATCACATTGCACCTTGTGGGTGACACTTCTTCAGGCCTAGGCCAAATGTCCCCCTTGTAGCCATGTGTCCCTCAACATTTGTGCTGCTCTTGTTTGACGTGTCCACGTCATTCTCTTAGCGGCCCTGACTGGAGGACTTAGGTCCAAGGGTGTGGTAGGTCAGACAGAGAGAATTAACAGAAAAGTCATCAAGTGGACATCTGCTGTTTATGAATCCCAGAGAAGGCAACACATCCTACAGAGACAATGGGAGGACCAGACATTACAGACTGTGTATGCTTAGCTAGGAGGAAGATAGGGAGGAGGGGAATGGGCAGGGTCTGTGCCAGACGGACATGCAGCATGTGTCGGGCTGGAGCTCTAAGCATATCTGCTATGCTCAGGAAATCACAATGACCAACGAGCCACTGCAGGCTCCTCTGTAGGTTCACCCTGCATGTGTGGTCCATGTGATATATCAAGAACGCTGTTTCTAGCTGTGCCCCGTGAGATCGTTCCAGAAGGATGTAGGATCAGGAGGAGACAGCAAGAGCAGAGGGCTGATGATTCGATGATTCTACCCCGAGGCTGGTGTGTAAGTCAGATTCACAGTCAGAAATTTAGGATTTCACTGCCCAAGTATCTAAAGTTAAAAGCTGACAGTGGAAACATTGCCAGTCCCCACCGTCCGTCTGCTGCTTCAGAGAGCACCCGTGAGAGGGGTGGAACAGAAGGCTAAGAACCAAATAAAGCCACCTCGGGAGAAGGAGGAAGACTCCACCAAGCACAGGAGCACAGAGCACCTGAGAGATGGAGCATAATCTTGGCCATGATGGCGGCAATGTTTATGGTGGTGGTGATGATGAAGAGGATAGTGATGATGGTGATGATGGCTGTGATGATGATGATGATGTGCATGATGAGGATGACGGTGATAGTAATGATGGTAGTTGTGGTGGGGATGATGGTGGTGGGGATGATGATGATGATCTGGTCATGTTGATAATAATTTCAAGGGAAAAGGTATCAAGTAAATATCCTCAGAAGAGCATTTCAGGACATGAAAACAGTCACGAGGCAGAAACACAGAAGCTAAGCACAGAAATCAAATGATAACAGCAACAACCGAATAAAACACGACACAGATAACCAAGGAGGTAGCTGACAGAGCGAGAAACAGACTGTAAATGAAAACTCTGCCACGACGTGCTCAAGAGTTGTTTTGGGTGAGAATACAAGTCACATATATTGGGCCACGAGCAGAAAAACAACTAAGGGACCAGAGCTGAGAGGAGAGCAAAAGGTGATAGAAAGGACAGATATGCAAATAAAATCCAACTCACATAGAGCTAAAGTTTGGAAAGAAGAAATACAGAACAACAGAATATGTAATGTGTAAGAATGGGCCGTGCAAAAGATCTCAGAAGACTACACCCTCTAAATTTACATGCTGCAGCCTCTGTTACATCCATTAAGACCTCAGTCTAGAACGTGCGGAAGTATTAAACCACCACCCGCCGTGTAGACGTGTGGCTTTAAGCCATCTGTGGTATCATCTTCAAACAGAGCGGAGCAATCCCTTGGGTACATGCAGCACCTGCCAGAATCCTTCTGAAATATAGGAGGCATAAGGTATTCAATTCCACTGACTTTGACACTGAGCAAAAATGCAGAGAAGCCTACAGGAGTCATTTGCTCTTCCTTTTTCTATTTTTCTTGTAATTTACTTTTAGTCAAACATGGTAGTCTTTGTACATTCTCTCTATGGGATGCCTGCAAAGGCACAGGGGGCTGCAGCAGGCACCCCTGCATCAGTTCTAGTGTCTGTGGTTGGTCTCAGACTGGAAACTGTAAGGAATTTTTTGCCTCATTATATCTGTGTGTTTGCGTGTGAGTGTGGATGAAAGTTAATGTGCTTGGCTCTGTGGAGGCAAGAAATAAATACTGGGTGTGCTCTCTCACTTTCTACCCTGTTTTTCAGTTTCTCACTGAACCTGGAGCTTACCAGTTGGCTAGACTGATTAACCAGTGAACCCCTGGGATCCTCTTGTTTTCCACCTCCAAGTGTGAGGATTACAGGTGTGTGCTTTTCACGTGGATCAGACTCAGCTGGCTTTACAGGTGTGT